AACAAACTATACATTTCTCACTAGAAATATAATCAAAACTCATTTTAATGCAAAAACAAACTCAAGTCATTAATCTTTCCACAAAAAAATGAGCGAATGTCGGCCATATATTTATTTTTTTTCTTCTCCCAGCTGGAATCTTGAAAGTCACGTGACTAGGACGTAAAACAATAGAAAGCGTATAGGCAGAAGAAACGTAACAGTACCACAAAAAAATGGCCATTAATGTACCTCCACTACGTTTTGCAGTGTGGACCAACGTAGTGGGGGTACATTTTCCCATGAGACTGGGTTGACTTTTGTACTTTCGGTTAATTCACGCCTAACCTCTTTTCCTCACATGTAAAATGATTTGTTGGGGAAATTTTAACTTTCAATAAATAGTGTAAATCACCCTAGTGTACATTTTTACATTGCAAGAAAGATGCATCAAAAGGCAGAACACATATTAAAAATGTAAGATTCATCTTTAACTGTTAAAGATTTTTTTTTTTAGAAAACAAAAAAACAGGGGGTTCCCTGTCATCGACCTAATTTTCAGCAAAGTCAACAGGAGACTGTAGGTGTTCAAAATGTATTTTATTGAAGTGTAAAAGTACTTTTGACAGATTAGTTAATGTAGCTATAAATTGAAAAATGATATTTAAAGTAATTGTCTATATCATCACTATGCAGAAATTATAGCTATACATGTGGTGATACATGGTTGTCTACGACAGATAGCTTAACGTTCTTCTCTTGACAGGCAGATGCAGACTTCATCATCTCTGTCTGCCAAGCTGAATTTAGTGAAAAGGGTTCTAACAAGGAACAATCTGAGGTTGACTTGATGAATCACTTTCAGGATTTTCTACAGGAACTCGAGCAAGGTAGTGGCTCTTTTTGTTATTTGAGAGTTGCTAAGTTATACATGTTCTATGATCCTCTTAGCAAAATGTTTTGACTTTTTCTACCTTTCTTTTTTTTTTTACTTTTTTAAACATAAATGACATGTGAATACATAAGATTATAAATGAGGTCTTTGTCACTTTGTGACTTTGTGTTTCTTTTAGGTGAATCCTCATTGTCTGAGAATGGCTCGTCACTGTCTCCAAGAGCCTTCTTGCAATGGATTACAGGACAGGCCCATATTCCTGTTCTGCAAGAGGAGAGGAAGAAATTTCAAATAACTGTGCAGTTCCTTCACGAGTGTGAATCACAATACGGTCCACACAAAATCTGTTATCCTTCTGTGGCTGCATGCATTAACACAATAACATTCCCAGTTCAACACATGAGATCATATGAGGACTTTAAATGTGTTCTTCTGGAAGCATTCCACATGGGTCAGGAATTCACAAAAGTGTAAAAGTTACATTAACACCAGTTTCTTTGAGAAAGGATCTGATTCAGTACAGGACTGATGTGTAAAAGTTATAAGCTTAGTGTTGTGTGAATGTTGATTAAAACGTGTTTGCTCAAAAGACTAATAAAACATCAGCTGTGACTTACAATCTCTTTGTTTGGTTGCTAAATCTAAATTATGCCTACTGCTGAGTATAGTGAAATGTATTTGAATATTACATACTGTAAACATTGTTGATTGAAATCATTCTAAAGACTTCCTTTCAAGCTGAAAAACAATGTTCAGCTTTATATGGGATCTTGCTTATGATAGACAATTAATAAGAATTGTTTTTATTTTCTTGTTTGATTTTCTAACTAAACATAACTGAGTCTGTCACTTAAGACACTGCTGGACAAATGTACAACGGAATTGTGTTTTTTTTTAAAATATTATTTGATAATACTCTAAACTTAAAAGAAGTATTTTTTTAAAAAAAAGGTTTAAAAGATTTTAACATTTTAATGTTTGTACTTACACTGTATTTACTGGAAGATCTGAATACAGCAACAGAATATGTCTCGACCATAGGAGTCAGAAGGGGCTGTGGGATCCACAATGGCTTGAAGCTCTATCATTTCATGGTCATTTAGAGGAGAGGGGAATTCCGGAACAACCAGTCCGGTTTGCTGATCAGTCTCAACATGGTGTAAAGCACTCTGCCAATCTATGTTGAGGTCTGGATGTTCCTACATTAAAACAACAGATTTTTGCAATTTGTAAGAAATCTTGTTTAAAAACTGAGTACCATTTCTGGACTTACATTTACATCCCCATTTGTTCTGTTGTGCAGCAGTCCTAAGTCCCACAACTGCTGGGGTGTCATGTTACCCTCTGTGCGTAGAGGGTGATTGTTCCAACCCTCGGTAAAAGTTTGGAGGTCTCTGTCAAGCCGGGGAAGGAAAACGAAGTGC